CTCAGTGAGCAGAATCTTGTCAGATTCAGGGAGCCAGGAAAATGTGGTGACTGTGGGCCCAGAAAGGATCTGAAAGCACAGAGATCTGGAATTGGTACCTCCTAGCTCTGTGACCTGGTGGAGACTTCAGAATATACCATACCCCCCCCCCAATAGGAGAGGAAGGAAGTGGGACAAAGCTCAATGAACTGCCAAAGGCTCGATAAAGTTGATATGGAGAGAAGGCTCCTTGATCTACCAGAAATCTCTCTGGAGCCAAGGTAAGATTCCTAACCCTCTAAAGATCAGCCTGACCCATGGGAATGAGAGCTTTCATGTAAGCCCACATCCCCAAAGAGAAAGAATAACTTGAGCTGTAAGAAAAGGTGAAAGATGTATGAACTGCTCACTTCAATCCTAAAGACAAAGAGGAGAAAGCTGAGGTTAGAAAGAAGACACCCCCCCCTTAAATGAATGGGGTATTGAGAAGGGGTAAGAGCAGACTTCTCCACTGTCATCAGGAATCCCACCTGTGCTACATCCTGTTTGAGGTTTCTAGTATCACAAATGTAGGAAAAGGAGCCAAAGCCAAGTTTTAGCCCCACAAATGAGAAAAAAAACAAAAAAAAACATTATTAAACACATGTAACAAAGCAAAAATTTTAAGCCCCACACTGACGATGCAGAATGATGAGGCACATAGTTAACAATTACAAAAAAAAAATTCAGATGGAACAATGAATTTTATATTACTAGTAGTACTGATATGTAACATACAAACTATGAACACATACCCAATTAACAAAGTACTGATATCTAATGGATAAACCATCTAAATTTATCTAGTCCACAAAATATATAATAATAATGAACATGCAAACTGATGAAAATTACAAAGGAAACAGATTAATAACCAATATCTAACTTACAATTCATCTAAAGTAATTTTGATTAAAAAAAAAAAGACAAATATCTAACTTACCAAAGTCCAAGAAGTAATGAAATACATAATTCTTCCGTGTGTAAATACGGGCAAAACCACACAAAGGGCATTTGAACCGGGCCTACCACAGGTATATAAAACCGGTGGACATGTTGAAAAACTTAACACATATCCCCTGAAACAATAGAAAGAATGGAGGAGAAGAAAAATTCTCCACCAGAGAGAATGACGTGGTAGCATGGCAACTGGTGGAAGGTACTGGAAAAAGAGAGTCAAAATTGTCTTCTCATTGATTGTATTCTTCCTCACAAACATTGTCACATTGAAAAGGAGAAATTGCTGGCCAAACGTATAAACCTAACACTCTAGGAATTAAGGCATGTACCTCCACTGCAGATAAACTTGAACCCAATTCCTGGGAATTTGTACCAGTAACATTTTTGACTAACAGGAATATCCATAATAGATATATTGATTACAAATTCCTACTATGATTTTCTGTAATAAGATAACAAGAAATCAATGCAAAAAATAAACTCGAAACAAGTGAATGCAAACACAGTCAAATAAAACTATGGAAAAGAACACTTCTGAACAATGCTGTGCCAATCGAAAAAGTGGGGATTGGGCAAGAATAGCAGAGGGAGCTGGCTGCACCAATATACGTAGCACAATAATATTGGTAGATAGTAGTCACACAATATGTACATGTTCAGTAATGGCATGAAGTTGATGGAGTATAAAGACTGATGTGCTGATCTCATTATTTTTAGCAATGCTTAGGGGCCAGAAAAGGATCGAGATAGCTTTGTGTAAGGCTGTATCAGAAGTGGGGGTACATCTCAGCCAATTATGCTGGAGATCTAAACAAAATTGATGTTACCCTTAGTGCTGAAAGTTACAAACAGATTCTTATCCATCACGTCATTTCTTCACAAATAAGAACTGTTAAGAAAGGATTAAACTTCCACAAAGACAGTGATCCCAAACATGAAGAAAATGTGGTGAAACAATACCTGAAAGTAAAAGTCCCACATATGAACATTATTAAGGTTGTATAGGTTTATTTGGAAACTGAGAAAGTTAAAAGACAAGACAAAACAACTAGTCTGAATTGGGA